TTTTGATCAAGGAGAGTCTTAATTTGCAGGTATATATCAGCAGCTGTTTGAGGGTTTAGAGAAGCACAAAAACGAGCAATATCAATTGAGCTAATAATCAAATAGAATGTAAACCATAAGACATGATCTGGCTTTCTGTGAATCCTTGTGTTCCAGTTTTGTTTCGGCTTTGGTCAAATTGGTAATAAAGATATAAAAATTCTCTTCTTAAACTTTATTGTAAGTCCATAGAAGATCTTCATTGTTTTATGCTCAGATTGAAATGTCGAAACTTTCATAAATTTTGGTGGGCATGCAACACTAATCCTTCATTTACATGTTTGACACTCGCAAGTTGGTATGCAAAATTCTTCTTCGGGTGTGGTTTTGGTCACTTCTCATTTCACCTCGCCTATGGTTGTATTGCCCGCAGCATTGTTTGTTGTGATTATGAATATAATGGGAAGTAGTCTGGCATTCTTTTGGAGATATATGTAGATCCTTCTGACTCCAAAGAGACTCCTACAGTTGAGGTTAAGTGACAATTATAGCACCCTTTCGAACTTTTCCCCAACCCGGCAATATCTGCCATGAGTATGAATACAATGGGCAGCAGCAGTCTGGGTGTCCTTGGAGATATGTATCCTTTTGTCTCCATTAAGTCTCTTACAGTTGATGTTAAGTGATAGTAAAAGCCTTTTATAAGTTTCTTGGAGTTCAGATTCTCTTTATTTTTTATGTTAAGATATTGTTAACTAATGGTCTAAAACAATGTCGTTTGAGGTCACACATCCTATTTTACTCTAGCACATCTTTTGGTGCTTAGTGTTGAGCCAGATTTGAGCTCTTCTACTCAAAATAGTATAGCCGAGGGGCTATACTCGGGATTTTTATATATATAACAATAAAGAGTATAGCCTTTTTTTATATATAAAAATACAAAGTATGTTATAAATAGTATACCTGCGCGGCATTATCCATTACTATTATCTTTTTTCCCCAATTTTTGTTTATCGATAGCTTAGAGCATTTTCCATTACTATTAGGCCTTTACACGATTCTCTATTGTACCCTTTTGAGTTTTTACTTTTCCAAAGTTATTAGCCGTATAAAAAATTTAGCATTTCCATGTTTAATACTCGTATTTTACACATATGTATGTATTTTTCATGTTTAATACACTTGATTTAATTTTCAATAATACACATAAAATTCACGTATTATACACACAATTTTCACATACTATTGAATAAAAATAATATATATTAAAAAATTTAAATCTATAAAGTATATATATCGAAACTAGCAAATTAATATCTATAAAGTATAAATTAATGCAAATAGAATGGTTTTTTATTATAAAAAACAAGTATAGCCATCGGCTATACCCTTTTGATTGGGCGCTATGCGTTCCCTTTTTTTTTTTAATAACAAATGGTATAGCCGTGTGATACTCAGGATTTT